ACACTTCTCTGTGTGAGCTGCCATTTGGCTAAACTAATTTCTACATTTGCTTCCTGCTGACATGGTTACAGATGATAGTGCAGTGGTGAAAAAAAAACCACATTATTTCAAAAACAAGTTCTCAAACCACGGTCAAGCATCTCTGGGTACTGAGAAGGAATGTTCCCTACTTACTCAGAACTGTTCAGGACCAACCCCCATCCCCTCCCTTGATCACTCCATCCTATCTTCTCTTAGCTACTCAATTGATGTCATAAGTCAGTCTACCCACGTCCTCACTTCCCCATCAATTTTTCTTACTTTATTAGATCACCCCTTTATTGCTTCCACACTAAAAAACTCAACATTTCACCCTTTCTGCTTTTGGGCCTTACAGTAAAGCCTCTAGAGTTGTCTGTTTCATCTTCAGTCTCCTTATCTTCGGGCACTGCCCTGGCTCGCCTGTGGCACTGCTCTGGCTCTCCTGTGGCACTGCCCTGGCTCTCCTATGGAGTCTTACTGACTTACAGATTAGCTCTTAGTATTCCTCGTATCAGCAATGCTTGATACACCACCACTCTCTCCAGAAAGTACTCTACTTGGCTTCCAGCCAACATGCCCAGGGCATTCTAACTTTACCCCTTCAGGCTCTCTCACTGAACTAAAGTCAAGCCAACTTCCTACCAGCCCCAGGGGTCCTCCTTTCTTTGTATCCACAGTGCTATGCTCAGATTTTTTTTTTAAGTTTAAAAAATTTTTTATTATTGAGCCATGTGGTGGTGGCACACACCTTTAATCCCAGCATTTGAGAGGCAGAGACAGGTGAATCAATTGAGTTTGAGGCCAGCCTGGTCTACTGAGTGAGTTCCAGGAGAGCCAAGGATACACAGAGAAACCTTGTCTCAAAATAATTATTATTAATATTGTGTGTGTTTAAATGTGTATGACTGGAGGGGAAACGGACCGCTTTAAGTCATAGCACACAAGTGGTGGTCAGGAGTTAGTTCTTTCTTTTCACCTTTTACTTGGGTCTTAAACTCAGATTACCAGGCTTGAGGAGCAAGCACATTTTACTCACTAAGCCATCCTGCTGGTTCTACACCTAGCCTTTCTTTATATGGGTGCTAGGGATCCTTGTGTTTGCACTGTTACCCATGAGCCATCTCCCCAATCCATAACATCCCTTTTCTGTGTTCTTGCTTCTTTGGTGACCTTGTTCAGTCTCCATGTTGGCCTCTGGTTCCTATCTCTCTCCCTGCTAATGGATGTTTCACTGTAAAGTTCTCCAAATCTATCTCAGCCCTCCCCATTTCAGTGAATGGCAATCCAGTCTTCTCAGTGGATTAGGCCAAGACCTTTACAGTTATCCCCGACTTGCCTTTCTCCCTCATTCATTTCCAAATTACTAGTAAATTCTGTCAGGATGTCCTATCCTATTGGACAATGGAATGCTGTGACATAAATGTCTCAGTGGTTACCCTTGTCAAAACCAAACCCGTTCCTAGAGTCCATAAAGGCATCAATCACACACCATCAGAAAGTTCTGAAACAAACAAACAAAACAAAGAACAAAAGCAAAAGCCTGTGGGGTTATCAAGAGGATAAAATATCCTTTTCTGGAGAAAGTTCAATATGAACACACTGTCCCTTGCTCCAAGCTACCAGGTTTCTGTGGTGGCATTACCCACTTACCAGACAATGTTCCTCGTTCTTCAGTATCACTGTCACTATCCACAATATCATTATGCTTTTCGATGTCAGCCAAAGACTGGCCATAATGAGTCAATTCTTCGTCTTCATTTAGGTTGTAGATATTTTTTTTCTCATGATGCCGCTTGACAAAAAGGGGTTAAAATCAGTTACCTAAAATTATTAATTTCTTTCCTAGAAAATTAGTTATTTTCCCCTATATGTGAAGTATGACAGCACAAATCAGTCTGAAGATAATTCTGGATATCTGAAAGATGACTGAAATATACACAGAATTCGTAGAGAAAATTCTTAAATAAGTAAATGGACTAGGCTAAGCTACTGCTAAATCATTTCCATCCACAATGGTCTATCAAAAAGCTGAAGGCAGGACGACCTTAGTGACCAACTGTCCAGTAACTGTCACTACTCACTGTTTGCTCTGGTTAATGTATTTATCTACTCATTAACTAGCATCTCTTCAAAGTGCCTTCCTCTATGTCTATCCAAATAGGATGCACCACTTGAGACATCCATCCCCTATACATGGCTGGAAAACAACTCAGAGGTGTAGATGAACAGGGAGAAATGTAGGATATTTGTACACTGTGAGAAGATGTATTATAGTGGTTGGTTTAATAAAGAGCTGAACAGCCAACAGCTAGGCAGAAGGTACAAGTGGGACTTCTAAGCAGAGAAAAAGGAAGTAGGAGATGAATGTAGGTGTGCACCAGACATCAATGCAACATGGAGTTGGACATACAGAATGAAAGAAAGGCAAAAAAGCACAAGACAGATTGTAGATTAATATAAATTATAAGAGCTTGTGGGACAAGCCTAAACTAAGGTCAAACTTTCATAACTAATAAGAAATCTCCGTGAGTTGGGTGACAATAAAGCTTGAATTGCCTTGTGTAAAATTTATAGCAAAGCCCCCATTTTCCCCCATACCTGTTGCTCCAGAGCAAACCTCTTCATCATCTTTTCCTCTGGACTTATGTTGCTATTGTACTCCCCAATGCGTTTATCCATGAATACATTGGACTTGTTCCTTTCTTTGTACTCCTTTAGTAAAGTTTGTGTTCGCTGAAAAATAGGTCACACACAGACAATTATCACACAAAGCTGCGATAATATTAAGAGTCCACCAGAAGGGGCTATAAAGTTGAGAGCTGTACAGTATTATATTGAAGTTCATAACATGTTTTCATCAATGACAGGCTTTCCCTAGTGGTGATAGAATTTTAAGAGAAAAATCAACTGACATGCAAATCAATCTCCTTTTTGCAATCTACTTGTCCATATTCAAAGTTGTAGATGCTGTGTTACAATTTGGAAATGTTTACTGTAGGCACAATTTATTTGGAAACATGTTCAGATCTCTTCCACAAGGAGAAGGAAGTTTACTTTTCATTGAACATATCCCATATAGTTGTGCTCTAATGTATGAAACTGTATCACAAGTGAATTTATCAAGTTGGAGCACAGTCCACTCTTTACACCTTAAAATACCACTTTCTTGATATTCTACGCACAGAACATAGCAAGTGCCTGTAAATTGGGTATTCTTTTGTGTGTGTGTGTGTGTGGGGAAGATCCTTCTAACAGCAGTAATAAACACATTCAGCATTATTTGACCCTAAGGTTGAATATCCTAAGGCAAGGCTGGGGGAGCAAGGACTGACATGGCAGGCTGCTATAAAATCAACGTTAATTCTTTGCAGAGATGTCTTTAAAAAACAAAACAAAACAACAACAACAAAAAAACAGACAAACAAAAAAACCCAGCCTCATAGCCTTCACTGGCCTGAGATTTTTCTCTGTGGCCAAGGATGTCCTCAAACTTCTGATTCTCCTGTTCCTTCTCTAGAGTGCTGGGATTTCAGGCATGTGCCACCATACCAAGTTATTTTGCAGAAAAATTACATTTTCCAATAGATTGTCATTTGAGAGCATTTATATATCAACTAATGACAAAAGTAATATTAGTGTAGAATCATCAAATAACAAAAGGTCATTGTAATGACACAATTCAGTGGCTTCATACATCCACAACTATTGAGATATCTTGTAGTCATCTGAAACTTGTAATCTGACTCTAGATTTGAGTGTGTCTGCACTGTTTTCGGGTTATCTAGGTATACTGGCCATGCCACACCAAGATCAGAACGACATGGAGAAATTAGCAAGCATGGGGGAGTAGTGTCTCATCCAGACACTAACTTTAAGTGCTGAGTTTCAATAGGTAAGAGATCCTGCACCTCTGTCTTCTCCTCACAAAGGCCGGGTAGGTTCAAAGTGTGATCACAAAATGCCACCAACTTTGCTACTTCCTAGCCAGGACTTGGCAAAATTCTTAATCTCTCTATCCCCTGTGGCTGCATTAGTAAGAGTAGGAAGTCACTTTCCTCAAGCAATCTCTAAAAGCGCTTTTAGCCGGGCGGTGGTGGCACACGCCTTTAATCCCAGCACTTGGGAGGCAGAGGCAGGAGGATCTCTGAGTTCGAGACCAGCCTGGTCTACAAGAGCGAGTTCCAGGACAGCCTCCAAAGCCACAGAGAAACTCTGCCTCGAAAAACCCAAAAAGTAAATAAACACGTAAATAAAAGCGCTTTAAAGTAGCACTTCACTGTAGTACAACAAGGAGAGTCCCAACACCATCACTTTCTAGTTGTGCCTCAGTTTCCAAACATAACTAGAAAGTTAAAGCTATTAAGTGTTTCATCACACTAAGACAGTCTCTAAGAAATACGCAACTAGCCATTGGGGAAGCCAGATCCTGGCTTACCCTTACCTTTCGGATGGCTCGGGCGCGGGACACCCCGGGCAGCCCCACATCGTGGCGAGTCTTCCTGCCGAGGATCTGGAACTTCTGCCTGTTCACTTTCACCTCAAACGGGTTTGGGTTAGCCTTCGCCGGGCCTCCGAACGCCCCTGCGGGCGCTTTGTGAACCTGCCTCCGCGCCCCAGACCGCTTCGCCTTCCCCATGACATTCACTCTGCCACACTAGGTAAATCCCTGCCTCCAGATGGCCCAAAGCAGGAGCCTCAAGAAACGTGCGCTTAAACTGCAGAACCACGCCCAGCCTCGTCTCACGATAACTACGTCATTCCCCCTACCTCGCGAGAAGTACTCAAATCCTGGTAGACGCGGAACCCGCTTTTGTTGGGATAAAGACTACAACTCCCAGGAGGCAACACTTCTAGACTTCCTGTCGCTGGGCTTTATGGGATCTGTAGTGCCTCGTGAGCTGCCGCAGTCTCCTCAGGCGCCGCCCCGAGGGGAGCTCTCGGGCTCCCTCTGGAGGAAAGCCGTTAGCCGGGGCCGGGCTGCCGTGCGAGTTATCTGGCAGCCGCGGCGGCGGCGGCTACTGTAGCCGTCGCCGCCAGAGACGGCTCTCCCGTAAGTGATCTTCTCCGTCGGGTGGGGCGCGGCGGAGACTCAGGCCGCCCCAGGACCCGGCGCTGAGGGGAGAGTTACGCGCCCTGGGCTCGGGCGATGATGCTAGGAGGAGTTCGAGCGACCGCGCGCAGGCGCCCAGAGCGGAGACCCATCGCCTGAACCGCAAGATAGCTGGAGCCCGTGGCGAGCCTTCCTCGGGCCTGCCTTCGCACCGACGGCGACGGCGACGGCGACGGCGGCGACAGCGACAGCGACAGCGACGGCGCCCCTGGTGGCAGTGGTGGCGACGCCAGAAGAAGCAGAAGAAGAAGCGGCGGAAGAAGCCGCGATCGCGGCCGGGCAGCACCCAGAAACCCTGTCTCCCGCCGGACGAGGTATGCGCGGAGCCTGCGGCTGCGGCTGTGGCTTCCAGGTCTCCTCCCCACCAGCCTTCCCCGCCTCCTTTGCCCGCACCCCGAAAAGTTCGATCCCCACCGCCGCCACCGCCGCCGCCTCCGCTGCCGCTGCCACCACCGCCTCCGCCTTCGCCGCCGCCTTCGCCGCCGCCTCCACCACCACCACCTCCACCACCACCACGGCGTCGGCGGCGCAAACGACGGACCATGGAACTCGAGAACCTAATGGCCAACACTCTCCTGCTGAAGGCTCGTCAAGGTAGGTGCACCCCAGGCGCCCGGTCTCTGAGGAACCAAAGTTCTTCGGGGGAATCCTGATCTCCGTGAGACCTTCACATTGTCCTCTAAGGGAGCTTTGATCCCAACGAACTAGCCCTGGGTTCCTGCTGCTGCTTTGCCAGTGTCAGCAAATGGTCAATCTGGGCTAACCTTTGTTGTGTTTTGAGACAGTAGCGCTTGCCTAACGTGCACTAAGGGCTGAGTACCATCCCATCCTCAGCGCTGCTAATTTGAAAGAGTATGGAAAGGTATGAAATGTACACTCATTTCTTAGGGTTTCTGGATTACACAAGCAAAGGTGCCTGGGAAGTAGCCGTATAAGATACTATTAAGAAGCTTCAATGTGTTTATCTCACAGAATGGTGACTACATTCTCCGAGAAAAAACTAATGAGTAACAGAGAAATGTTTTTGATCTTCAGAGGCAGGCGGATCACTGTGAGTTCGAGACCAGCCTGGTCTACCAAGTGAGTTCCAGGACAGCCTCCAAAGCCACAGGGAAACCCTGTCTCGAAAAACCAAAAAAAAAAAAAAAAAAAAAAAAGTTTTTTGCTCCATTCCAAGTTCATTTATGTCCTAAGTGCTTTTCAGGAGGAAGAATCTTAATTGGAAAACATTGGTTTTCAACACTGGAAACCCTGAAAAGAAACACTGTAAGAAATTCCTGAAGTTATAGTGAGTGGTGTCTAGGATTAGATTCCAAAGTTAGGGCTTTGCCATCCCTGTGAGTAAAGAGTGGTGAAGAAGACTGAAGCAGGAAGATCCTACATTCAGGGGCACTCCAAGCTTCCTACTCTGTCTTCAAACCACTGAGCAGTGGAGGCTAGCAGCATATAATACAAAATAACCAAAAAAGACATCACCCTTTAAATATTTATGTGCTAATATTATTTGAGTTGAACTGAGCATGAGTGGGAGGAACCAGGTTTTTTTTTTTTTGTTTTTTGTTTTTGTTTTTACAAGACAGGGTTTCTCTATATTGTATTGGAGGCTATCGGACCAGCCCGGCCTCGAACTCACAGAGATCCTCCTGCCTCTGCCTCTCGAGTGCTGGGATTAAAGGCGTACGCCACCAACGCCCGGCTGACTAATTTTTTCTAATCACTTATTGTGTAGCTTATTAATCTTCTCTCCCTTAATTACGATATAGAGGAGGGGGCTAGAGAGATGGCTCTGTGGTTAAGAGCATTTGTTTCTTTTGCAGAGAACCTAGATTTGGTTCCTAGCACCCACATGGTGGCTCATAGCCTTCCATAATCCCAGTTCCAGAGGATCTGACATCTTCTTCTGACCTCCATGGAAGCCAGGCATATGCATGGTACACATATGTAAATTTGGGCAAAACACTGACACATATAAAATAAAGTGAATCTAAAATAAAAAAAGAATATGGAGGAGGTACTTTGTTTTTGTTGTTAGGGATGGAACACAGGCCTCCATAACATGTATATGCTCTTATCACTGAATTCTATTTCCATACATACCAGACTGTGTACTTTGGTGTTTGTTTTTTGCTTTGGTTTTTGGTTTTTGGATTTTCAAGACAGGGCTTCTCTGTGTAGCTTTGGAGCCTGTCCTGGAACGCTCTGTAGACCAGGCTGGCCTGGAACTCGCAGAGCTCCACTTGCCTCTGCCATCTGAGTGCTTGGATTAAAGGCTTGAGCCTCCACTGCCTGGCCTATGTACTTTTTTTTTCTTAAAGGGATTTTAAAAAATAGTGTGTATGTGTCTATCTGTCTCTACCTCCCACTGCCTAGCCCTGCCATGTCTGTGTGGGGAGTGTAGCCTCTGTAGAGGCCAGAAGAGGATATTGGATCTCTTAGATTTGGGGTTACAGGCAGTTGTGAGCTACCAAATGTGGGTGCTGGAAGTAAAACTCAGGTCCTACACAAGACAAGTATGCATCTTTAACCTTTTCTCTCACCATATTTTTGTTTTCTCATTGACCATTGCATCTACAGTACTTTTAAGGTGTTTGACACATGTTAGGTGCTTAATAAATATTTGTTTAAAAAAATAAATATCTGCTGAACCAGTATTTATAAGTACCACTGTACAGGGTCATGTTGGATCTAGTGTACAGATTTTAGAAATGGAAGCTGAGAAATTTTATACTTAATTAAACTGACACCTAGTTGAGACAAATTATTATAAACTTCATTTTAATGAATCTACTCAAATAGTAAATTATATTAAAGATAGTAATATTTACAATAGAATATTTTTTACCATGAAAAAAATCTTGTTTATTGTGAATACTATATTGATAACGATATTTTAATAAAGAAACAAACAAAAAAGAATTTTGGTGAGGGCTAGGTGTGATAATATAGCTGTGTAACCTCAGCATGAAGAAAGGTAATGTAGAAGGATCCAGAACTCAAGGCCTACTTGGACTACATAGCGAGACCCTGTCTCAAAAACAAAAACAAAACCCACATTTAAATCTAAATCCTTATCTTTTCAAATTTAGCAGGACTTAGCAAAAAGAGTGGTCGTAGTAGAAAGTGGAGAGAGCTCCTGAAGTTGCCCCCAGTCAGCCAGTGTGCTGAGCTAAGAGACGCCATCGGTGAGTAAGTAGTGCCTCTTATGTCCGGAGGGTGTCTGACATTACATCTAAATTAAAAACAAATTAAATTATTTTTTTAACTGTCTGTGTATGGCTTTGTACATATGAGTGCCTGTGGTAACCAAAAGAAGGTGTTAGATCTCCTGGATCTGAAGTTGCAGGCTAATGTGAACCACAGTGTGAGCACTAGAAATTGGATCCAAGTCCATGCTGATGCAAATAGCCATCATGACCACAGCCAAGTCCTGTTTCTGTTCTTTTTTTTTTTTTTTTTCTCTCATGATTTATCTGCTTCATGGAACTTGCAGGCCAGAGATCCAAGGCTGTCCATTTTCAAAGCATTCCTTGGTTCTGATACTGCTGCCCAAATAACTCAGGAGGAAAAGGTGACGATCTCTGCATTCTTCCTATCCTGGATAGGGCGCAGCATGTTAGGTTACTAAGAGAAAACATGTTAAAGGAAGTACGTGTTAAAGCATTAGGGGAACACATAGTGTCCTCCTGTGGGAAATGAGAAATGTAAAATGGTGAGAGTGCTCTGACCTCAGAATACAATCTGCATGAGATAGAGACAGTGCACTCCAAATACTTCAAGAGCATTTAGATTAAAGAGAAGCCTTTCTCATGGTTGACCCATTGAGGAGGGAAACTGAAGAGTGAGATCTGTTTTCTGCACAGAAGAGAAACTTTGACCTTAGAGTGTTGTGGCTGAGAACCATAACAGGAACAGACTCAGCTAGAACTCAGGCTGAGTTACAATTGTCGGAAGAGTGGTTCTAAAGATGATTTTGTCCTCTTTGTTAATACCAACTACAGACAGTATCAGGAAAATAAGGATAGTGAAGAGGAAGCAGTAGCCTGCGTCTCAGCAATGAACTTCTTGTTTAGGGAATATCTACCAGTTCCTCTAGGCTTGTATATTCCAGGGTATCTTTGAGTTCTTCTCCAGTAGGTAGGAACAGAGTCCCTCTTTGAGCCAACCTTCTAATCTTGGAGAATTAAATCACTGATCAGTGGTGACTTATGAAAATAAATAAATAAATGTGCACAATTCAATGCTTTATTTAGATATATTTTTTGATACCTTTATGTAGGCTAGGCTAGACTTGAATTTGCTACACAGTTAAGGATCACCTTGATCTTCTGATCTTGCTTTTACTTCCCAAGTGCTAAGATTATGGGCATGTACTGCCATACATGGTATATATCATGGTATATCTGAAGCTAAGAATGGAACCCAAGGGCATTGTGTATGCTATATAAGCACTCTGCCTACTGAACTCAATCTCTAGCTCCCTTGCCTAGACATTTCCATATTTAAACCCAGTGATCTAAAAAGAATGGCTTAGACTCCCAGAATTACTTGATATTAATAAGCTCTATAGTGGAGGGATTTGTTATGATTTGCTCACTTACTGTAATTCTTCAGCTTTAGAGTAACTTTTGGAAACCAGCTATGTCTGTCCATTTCAAGTTGTCAGCCACTATCTTAGTTCACCGTTGTGAAAATACCATGATCAAAACAACTTGGGTAGAAAAGGATTTATTTAAATTTACAACTCTTAGGTCATACTTCATCACCAAGAGAAATCAAAAGCAGGACCTCATGGTAGGAACCTGGAGGCAAAAACTGAAGCAAAGGCCATGGAGGAAAGCCGCTTACTGGCTTGCTTCCTATGACTTGCTCAGTGTGCCTTCATATATATTCCAGGACCACCTGCCCAAGGGTGGAACCACCCACAACGAGCTGGGCCCACCCATGTCAATCATTAGTCAAGACTTACCTATAGGCCACTTTTATGGAGATATTTTTCTATTAAGATTCTCTTTTCCTGGGACTGGAGAGATAGCTCAATAGTAATGAGTGCAAGTTGCTCTTACAGAAGACCTGGGTTCAATTCCCAGCACCTACACTGTGGCATACAGACATCCTAAAGTCCAGTTTTAGGGGATTCAGTGACTTCTTCTAACTTTAAAGTATTCATACACATAAAATAAATCTAAAGAAAAACTTCCCTCTTCCTAGATATGTCTAGGAAGATTTGTATTGACAAAAACCAACAAGTGTAGCCACTACTAGAAGAGAAACTGGCCTCCTTCCCTCCTGTCTCCTTCCTATCCCCCTCTAGTCTCCCTCCTCTCCCCTTCCCCCCATTCCACTCCCTTCCTTTTCCTTTCCTCCCCTCTCCTTTTTTTTAAAATTTATTTACTATGTATATAATGTTCTGCCTGCATGTATACCTACACACAAGAAGAGGGCAACAGATTTCATTATAGTTGGTTGTGAGCCACCATGTGGTTGCTGGGAATTGAACTCAGAACCTCTGAAAGAGTAGTCAGTGCTCTTAATCTCTGAGCCATCTCTCCAGCCCTTCTCTCTCCTTTTGTTTTTAATTAGCATACAAAGTAATGGGCCTGTGCAGTAGTACTCATATTTAATACCAACATTTTGGAGGTAGAGGCAGAAGTGTGTGGATCTCTGTGTGTTCTAAGACAGCCTGGTTTACATAGGAAGTTATAGGCTAGCCAGGACTACATAATGAGACCCTGTCTCATAACAAAAAAAAAACAAAAAACAAAAAAACCAAAAACAAAATGGTTTCACTGTTGCATTTTAATCCACATATATCATTAGACTTGCCTTCCCCTGCTGCTGAGCATGGCTTTCTTGCTGAAGGTTAACTTGTTACAAGCATTGATTTTGTTTTAGAATTTTTTTGGGGGGAGTGGGGTTTGAGATATGATTTCTTTGGGTAGCCCTGGCTGTTCTGGAACTCACTCTGTATACCAAGTTGGCCTTAGACTCACAGCGATTGCCTGCCTCTGCCTCCCTAGTGCTGGGATTAAAGGTGTGTACCACCACTACCTGGCTGAGCCACCTGGAACATTAGGGCCTTATTCTCAGAACAATATCACTAAGGTAAGGGGAGGCAAGGGATACAATATTTCCTATATGGAAAAGAAAAAATAAGCAAATTATACAACGAGAAGTTAAAAATCATTAAGCACAAAAACCCCAAACAAATCAATAATCATAAATAATTTAAATGTTGTTTGCAAGTATCAAAATATCAAGATGGAGAAAGATTTAAAAATTTTTGATTTTAGTACATTGCTGCATACCCAATTTATTCTAGATATCTAGGGTGGGTGAAGTAGTAAAGAGATCCCTTTATGTTCCCGTCTTAGTCTTTTTCAAGTTAGACTTTGCAAATTCTTACTAATTCTAGTTGTTTTGGGGTCTACCTTAGTGTTGGTTGGTTGGTGGTTGGTTTTTTTTTTTTTTTTGAGATAGGATCTTACCATGTAACCCAGGCTGTCCTTGAATGTACAGTCCTCCTGCCTCAGCCTCCAGAATGCTGTGATTATAAGCATATGCCACCACAATCAGTTCACTTATTTTGTTTTCATTTATTTGTATTTATTCATTATTTATATTTGTATATGTGTCTGTATACCTTTGTGTATGTGCATGTATAGGCTAGACAACATTAGGTATCTTCCTTGGTCATTCTCCATCTTATTTTTTTGAGACAGTCTCTCACTGAACCTGGAGCTTGGCAATTCAGTTAGACTATCTGGTCAGTGAGTACCTGAACTCTGCCTGTCTTCACTTCTTCAGCCCTGGGATTACAGGAACACCCCACCATACTTTTTATGTGGGTACTTCATATGTGAACTCAGGTCCTCATGCTTCTGTAGGAAGCACTTTACCAACTCAGACATCTCCTAGCCCCTGCTTGAGTCTTTTAAATGTATGATAACTGAGTTTTAATCAGTAAATAGAGCAATAGTTTAGAAATAATAGAAATACCATTTTTGACTTTCATTATATTAAGTGAAAACAGAAAGTGGATTAAGAATAGAACTTAATATATAGTAACTACTATTCTTATCTCTCCCCTTTACCCAGAAAAGGATTTTAGCAGTCTTTGTGACAAGCAGCCAATAGGAAGACTTCTTTTCAGACAATTCTGTGATACAAAACCAGATCTAAAGAGATGTGTTGAATTCTTGGATGCAGTGGTGAGTGATTCATCTCAGGGGTGTCTGATTTTGTGGTTTTTAATACTAAAAACTAGACTTGGCAAAGATAGTAGTTGTCTTGGTTTCATATTTCCTTCCTTTGATCCTTCCCTCTCTTTTTTTTTTTTTTTGCACATGCTTCTTTAATTCTCACTGGAGATTCTTTATCTCACTTTATTGAGACAGTATCTTTAAAGAAACAAAAGGAGGTTTGATAAGCAGGTTTTGACATACATATATTGAAATGTTGATGGTACCTTTAAATTATACATCCTGGATCTGATCATAAAATCTTATATGTCTGAGTCCTTATTTGTTTCCCTGTTGCTAGTCTAGGTGCTGCTGAAGTGACTTGGTAATAGTTTAACTACTAAGGGATTGTCAGTAGACAGACATCCTGGTCATCCACAGTAACACCATCAACTGACTAGGAAATATGATCTCACTGTTTATGCCATGCATTCACCTACTTTACAGGGTCAAAAACAAATAAATAAAATATAAATCCATAGCTGGCAGAAAAGTTATACAACTGAATGTTTTCTTTGGATATAGATATTTGGCAAACACTGTCAGCTCCCTAGTCCTAATCCTTTTTTCAAAGATATTTTGAGAATTTTATACATGAGTACCATTTTCTTTCAAAGCCATGACCTCTTCTTTAATTATTTTCTCTCTCTCTTTCTCTCTCTGTGTGTGTGTGTGTGTCTGTCTGTCTGTCTGTCTGTCTGTCTCTTTCTCCCTTCCCTCTCTTTTTGAGATAGGGTCTCACTTTGTAACGAAGCTGGTCTGTACCTCACTTTGTAGGTCAGGGCTCTCACAATGATCTTGGCCTGTCCTTGAACTTGTAGCAATCCTGCCTCCAACTCCTGATTGCTGAGGTTATAGGCATGTACAACCTCCTGGTTCCTGACAAATGTGAAACACAGTAAGAGATGAATGCTGCTCTTCATCTTGCTTTCTCCTTTAAGAAATATTTTCTTTTATGTATGAGAACCTGCATGTTTGTGTGGATGTGTGCCATATGTATGTCTGGTGCCTCTGGTGCCAGAAGATGATGTTGGATCCTTTGGAACTGGTGTTATAGGTTATCGTGAGTCACCCACCATGCAGGCTCTGAGAACTTAACCTGACTCCTCAGCAAGAGCATTAAGTATACTTAACTGCCAACCATCTTGTTAGCCCTGTTTTCTTCTTTTTTATAAGCTTATGGGCTGATCTTTATAAGCTTTAGGGTTGATTTTTCCTGCTCAGTGGATCCTTTCTAGAAACACCTTCATGGAAATTTCTAGGGATATGTTTCCATGATGGGTCTAAATCCATTGAAATTGACAATGAAGATTAACATACTCCACATCCACCCTCACTGACTTTTTTTTTTTTTTTTTGACACAGGATTTCTCTGTGTAGCCCTGGATGTCCTGGAACACATTCTGTAGACCAGGCTGGCCTCGAACTCGCAGAGATCAGTCTGCCTCTGCCTCTCAAATGCTAATATCCCTGACATTTTTACCTCAACATTGTCCTTACATTCTTGGAGAGCTATTCAAATTTAGCCCATAGAACCGTTCTCTGGTTCTGAAGGTGCCATGTAAGGTCATAAGTCAGATAATTTAAAGCATTATGAAATACTGTTGGTGAGTAACATCAGTAACCTTTCTCTTTTTCCTAATATCTCCAATCAGGCAGAGTATGAAGTTACAATTGAAGAGGAACAAAAAGAGTTTGGGCTATCCATCTTACATAGATTCTTCAAAGAGGTATGGTTTCTTTTTTTCTAATAAAGATTTTTGTAAGTAGCATGAAGTATATAGCTCTTTTTAACACTTTTTTTGATAAGATATAATAAATACATTAAAGGTTTTAATTTCTTACAAATGTTTCTCTTTTGTGTTTTTGTTTAAATTAAGTAACAAACTGATTTAAAGAATTTAATTCTGTTTTATTTGTATAATTTGAACTAACATTTTTTTCCTAAAAGTTTTTCTTTTTTTTTTAAAGATTTATTTATTTATTATGTATACAGTGTTCTGTCTGCATTATGTCCACAGGCCAGAAGAGGGCACCAGATCTCATTACAGATGGTTGTGAGCCACCATGTGGTTGCTCAGGACCTCTGTAAGAACAGTCAGTGCTCTTCACTTCTGAGCTATCCCTCCAGCCCCAAGTTTTTATGTCTTAGTATTTATTCCTTCTTAAAAACAAATCTGTTTACTTATTTGTTTTTTTATATAATTTTTAAAAATTTATTTTATGTGTATTGGTGTGAAGGTGTCAGATCTCCTAGAACTAGAGTTACAGAATGTTGTAAATTGCCATGTGGGTACTGGGTATTGAATCCAGGTCCTCTGAAAGAGCAGCCAGTGTTCTTAACCACTGAGCCATGTCACTACCCTGTTTATTTTTATTTTACTTTAGTTTGTAAGATTCATTTATATCCATACAGTCAGGGGTCTCTCTCTGCAGTAGTGGTTGGCCCAGAACTTTCTTTGCATACTGACTGGCCTCAGGCCCACAGATATCTGTTTACCTCAAGGACTATTCCTGGCCACTATGCCTGGCCAAATCTCTTCTGTTTTAATGTGTACCTCAGGGACTCTTCTTATACATTTCTCCTTAGTTTGTGGTTTGTTTGTTTGTTTGTTTGTTTGTTTTGTCACATCACAATGAATCTCTAGTTTTCTGGGGTTTTGTTTTTTAAAAAATGTTAATGGGTGTTTTGCTCCTTTGTTTGTCCACCACATGTACATAGAGGAGGGCACCAGGTCCCCTGCTACTGAAATTACAGACTGTTGTGGGTTGTTGTGTGGATGCTGGAAGTTAAACCTGGGTCCTCTGGAAGAGCAGCCAGTGAGTGCTATTAACTGCTGAGCCATCTCTCCAGCCCAGTTTTTATATCTCTTGACTTAGTAAGTTCTTGAAGTTTAGTGTATTGCCATATTAATACAAGCAGAGTCCTTTGCCAAAGGGTAGAAGATATATCCTGACATGTTAGATCTACCACCAAAGAAAGCATTTTTTGTTTGTTTTGTTTTTGAGACAGGGTTTCTCTATATAGCAAACATGAGGGCCCAAGTGTAGATCACCAGCACTCATATAAAAAATTGATACATACTTGTTGTTTTAGTGCTGGGGCAGTGGAGATATGAGCAACTTAGGGCCTTGATGACCAGCTCATCTAGCAGTTTAGTAAGCTCCAGGTCCAATAAGAGACACTGTCTCAAAAAGTAAGACAAACGTAGGAAGATATTCAGTGTTGATCTCTGACCTCCACATGTGCATGTATAGATGCTGATATCTGCACACGCACACACACACACACACACACACACACACACAGAGAGAGAAGCTCTATAATATAGCAGTAGAAGAGGAACAGTGATAACAATGGTAGTTAACATTAGTGACTACTCCTCTAAGCCTTATGCATGTAATAAATCACTTCATCTTCACATCAACCTGGTGATGTACTTACTATTTTTATGTGATAGGATTGAAAAATGTAGTTACATAACTTATCCATATTTGTACAGCTAGTAGATATTGGTGCCAGGGTCAAATATGTAGAGACTGAGGTATCACATAGGAGAAGGACAGGGACTGATTTGTGAAACCAAAACTTCAGCCTTGTAGAAAATAGGGGGAAATGGGGATAGAAAAATTTGAATAAGAGGGAATCAAAAATAAAAAGGGGAAAATTAGTTGTGATTTTTTTTAACACAGTAGGGTAATTATTAGTTGAAACACTTGAAGTGACTATAAGAGTATGAAATTCTCAGGCTACATCAATAATGGTTAGATAGGAATGAGAGATAGAAATTCCTCTGATGAATACACATTGCTGTAGAGGCATTGAATTATTATAATGTACCCCATAAAGATAAACAGAGTTTAGGCCAGGTATGGTGATGCACATCTTTAATCCCCAGCACTCAGGAGGCAGAAGCATGTGGATCTTTGCGAGTTTGAGACCAGCTTGGTTACATAGTGAGTTTCATCCATGCTAGCCAGGACTACATCCTGAGACTGACTCAAAAAATAACAAAAAAGAATAAAAGATATCCAAGAGGGAAAAAAGAAAATGTAAGAAGGGGCAAGCCTGTTCTCTAGACCAGTGGTTCTCGACCTATGGGTCATGTTCTCTGGCTGGGTGGGGGATGGATTGGGGGGTGTCAAATGACCCTTTCACAGGAGTCACCAAAGATATTGGAAATATCAGATATTTTACATTATGATTCATAACAGTAGCAAAATTGTATTTACGAAGCAGCAACAAAAATAATTTTATGGCCGGGCGGTGGTGGCACACGCCTTTAATCCCAGCACTCGGGAGGCAGAGGCAGGCGGATCTCTGTGAGTTCGAGGCCGGGCTGGTCCGACAGCCTCCAAAACAACACAGAGAAACCCTGTCTTGTAAAACAAACAAACAAACAAACAAAAAAACTAATAATTTTATGGTTGGGATTTGGCCACAACATGAGGAACTGTAATTAAAGAGTTATAGCATTACAAAGGTTGAGAACCTCTGCTCTAGACAGACATTAATCCTTTTAGGAGAACTCTGTACTTATGACCTAAACCTTTCTCAGAGATCCTACATCCCAATGTCTTTGAAATGACAGTTAAATCTCAACATGAGTTTTAGAGAGATATGATAGTCTAACTACAGCATTTGGTGAAAGATGTTTATGAATTTCTTTTATCCCCTTTTTCTTTTTTATGTATTTGTATGTGTGGTATGTGTACATGTGTGCATGTGCATGTAAAAGCCTGATATTGATGTTAGGAATCTTCCTTGATTGCTCTTCTACCTTTTTAAAAACATTATTTTTTAAAAATTTTATTTTTGAGATTTTATTTTTGTTTTATATGTTTTTGTTTTTTGTTTTTGCTTTTTCAAGACGGGGTTTCTCTGTGTAGCCCTGGCTGTCCTGGAACTCACTCTGTAGACCAGACTGGTCTTGAACTCTCAGAGATCCACCTGCCTCTGCCTCCCAAGTGCTATGATTAAAGACGTGTGCCACCACTGCCTGGCATGAATGATTTTTTTATACCATGTTGCAGATCATGGTTGTTGTACACCATGATTTTTGTATACTATGTATATGCAGTGTCCATGAAGTCTAGAAAAGGGTATCAGATCTTCTAGAACTGAAGTTACAGATGGTTGTGAGTTGCCATGTGCGTTGTGGGACCCAAACCTGGGTCTGCTGGAAGAACTAACTAGGAGCCATCTCTACAGCTCCTTATTTTATTTTTTTATGTGTATGTGAATGTTTTGCCTGCATGTATATCTGTATATAACTTGTGTGCAGTGGCCCACTAAAACTAGAAGAAGGAATCAGTCTCAGGTAGCTGACCTGACCCTGGGCATCCACATGACCCTCAGTGGCAATACGGGCCACAGACTTCAACACAGACTCTGACTGTGATAGGACCCAGACATAGTCCTTGGCCGCAGCTTTGGTGGCTGCAACCTGGATCTGGACATCACCATGGTCCCAGACGATGGCGCAGGCTACCCAGACCATCATGGCCCCAGCAGCAGCATGGCCCTTGGACACCAACATGGCCCTAGGTGGCAGCCCAGACCCCAAGAACCCACATAGCTTTCAAGGCAACAGGAGCCATGGACATCAAGACAGACTCTGGCTGTAGTAGGGTCATGGATCCAGATATGACCCCCTGCTGTAGCTGTGGCCCAGAAGTCACCGTAGAACCAGATAGCAGTATATGCCACTTAGAACTGTATGGCCTTGGATACAGCATGGTCCCTGGGCACCAGTATGGTCCCAGGTGGCCAGTTAGATGCAGGAAACCTCACAGCCCTTGGTTGCAACAGGAACCACAGATATCTACTCAGACCCTGGCTGCAGGGCCATGGTCAGGCATGGCCCTCAGTAGCAGCCTGGGCCTAGATGACACCATGGAAATCAACATGGCTCCAGTGGTGACATGACTCTTGGACACCTACATGGCCACAGATTATTATGATTTCTTTTATCATTTATTAAAATATAAAACGCAAGGGGATAAATATGAAGGATATAAACCTGAGAGAACCGCAAGTGACCATGACACATCACTACCATCCACTTCCTGGTTTGAAAAGGATAAAAAACAACATGGCCTCACCTCTTCCTGATCTGAGGGTCTCTCTTTCCCTTCTCCTGAGTTGTTCAGATGAATGTGAACCCTGACTCTCGAAACAAGACGTTATTCCATTGGACATCAGACCACAACACAGACAAAATTCCTGTTATATTTCACTGTTTTTGTCTAATTAAAAATGAAAGGTTCTAACCCTAACATAGTAAAACTATATACAATAAGAATAATTGTCAGTCCCAGTACTCAGGAGGCAGAGGCAGGCGGATCTCTGTGAGTTCGAGGCCAGCCTGGTCTACAGAGCAAGTTCCAGGACAGCCTCCAAAACAATACAGAGAAACCCTGTCTGGAAAAACAAAAACAAACAACAAAAAAAGAATAATTGTCAGTTCTAACTAGAAAGGAAAGGTATTAACCTTAACAAAGTGAAGCTATATACAACAAGAGCAATTATCAAATAAGAAATACATTCATAATGTGTTTGGTGTATTCAGTAAATTTAGGGAAAATATTCCATTAGTGTTCACTCCTGATGAGTCCAAAGTTTCATACCTAATTTACTATAGTTAAGGAACACTATAACTAGTCTTCAACCCCATCAAAGACCTGAGAAGGATATAATATTACTTGAGTAAACAGGAAGTGCAGAGCA